CACCCCCAGTGACTTACTTCCTCTAACGAGGCCTCGCCCACTCCAACAAGGTCACATCTCTCAATAGTGCCACTCTCCATGACCAAGCATTCAAAATCATGAATCTGTGAGGGTCATTCTTATCCAAACTACCACAAACAACAACTAAAACACCCATAAAACCAAACATTCTTAAAAGGGAGCTGGTTAATAGTGGTGTATACCTTTAACCCTAGCACTTGGGAGGTAAAGGCAAGTATATCTCTAAATTCAAGGCCAGCCTGGTCTATAGAGTGAATTCCAGGACAGCCAGGGTAAGCCCTAGCTCAAAAAGAAGAAGAAGAGGAAGAAGAAGAAGAAGGAGAAGAAGGAGAAGAAGAAGAAGAAGAAGGAAATAAATAAATAAGTGAAGGATTAGTTGGGAGGCTGAAGCAGGAGAATCTTCAGTTTGAGGCCAGCCTAATCTGGGCTATACACTAAGACCTTTTCTCAAAAACATGAACCAACAGAAACTTTAGTTTGTTCCACTATGACTTTTAAATGAATATTGAATGGTTCACGTTAGGTCTCAGAGAAACCTGGGGGAAATGACTAACTGAGATGCCTATTCAATGTATCAAAGCAGATGCTGGTACCAGGCTTCTCTTAGCCTTCCCCCCCCCCAAAAAGGAGACGGCTCCAACCCTTGAGCTCTGCTCCCCCCACCCCACCCGGCTTCTCTTTCCCTATAAAACCCAGCCACTTGACTATGCTCTCTCTTGGTTCCTCATTTGGTTCTCTTTTATTCTCCCCCCAGACCCCTACTCTCTCTCTCTTCTCATGGCCCAGGCTGCTGGCCATGCTCCATCTGGACTCTTCCAGAGGCCTCTGGCTGTTCTCTCCCTCACATCTACAATAAAAACCTTCTTCTCCCCTACACCTAGGTACAATCATGTCCTCATTTTCATTCAGTGCAAAACTGCTGGGGGGAGGGGATGCTGTGCTATTTAGCCAGCCTTGGTTATTTAAAAGAACTCCACTAGCTCACACCTATCATTGCAGCACTTATGCAGGAGGATGGCCACAAGTGAGTTGGAGGTTAGCCTGGACTATATAGCGAGTTCCAGGCTAACCTCGGCTATGAAGTGAGACTCTGTCTCGAACAAAACAAACAAGCAAATGAGAAATCAGGTCAAATGGATAGCTCAGAAGGTAAAGGCTGAGTTTGAGCCCCAGGACCCACACGATGAAAGGAGAAAAGCAGTTCCTACAAGTTGTCCTCTAGCCTACGAGGACACAAGCCACTCACGTCATAGAAAGAAGCAAATAGATGAAATGAAAATTTAGACAAAAAAAAAGATAGAGATGTTATTTATTTGGTGTTTTTTTGTTTGTTTGTTTGTTTTGGTTTTGGTTTTGTTTTTTCCCAGACAGGGTTTCTCTGTGTAGCTCTGACTGTCCTGGAGCTCACTCTGTAGACAAGGCTAACCTTGAATTCACAGAGATGTACTTGTCCCTGCCTCCTGAGTGCTGGAATTAAGGGCATAGGCCACCACCACCCAGTAAATGCTAAATTATAATTGTAAAATGTCACTAAAACTTTGTGACTATTCCGTATAATGAAGATACTGGAAAGAATGATCTTGGTAACTAAACTTGTGATGAAAACATTTAAACGGCAACTTTAAAAGCACAAGACAGTATTTATTAGAGGTTTTTTTAAAAAAAAGTTCTTCAGGGGGCTTTGGAGGTGAGTGTGATTTAAAGGTCGTGGGTGTGGTTTCAGGGTCTTTATTCTGCAGCGCCTGCACCTCCGATGGGAACCCTGGGGTGGCTTGGAGGTGCTTCTGCTTCTACCAGGAATCTTTCAAGCCACTAAAATCCCAACAAAAAGCCCTAACAGCAGGCCTGCCCTGGGGCTCTAGAGGCCTCCCCTGCACCCCATCCTCTCCAGCCTGCCCGCGCTGGCCGCCACCTCCCGTCCAGCCTGGAGTAAATAAACCACTGGGCAGGGACCCAGACAATGGGCCTTGGCGAGGAGTTAATGGGCTGGGCCTCTCGCGCTAGCCTAGCCGAGTGTGACCGGAGCTGGCAGGGGGCCTGGCCTGGCGCCAGCATCGATTACGACTAGACGGAGCCAGGGCAGACTTGGCACGGACAGGCCCCACAGCTGGCAGATTCAGTCACCCTCACCGAGAGGGCACGAGGCCTACCCTGGGCGCCCGCTGTCACCCGCTGGCTGAGCTCCCGCCACCACCATCACTGCAGGTGGGGGGAATTGGGAATTGCCAGTTATCTTACACACACACACACACACACACACACACACACACACACGCACACCCTGGGCCCTGATTTGTGATCCTTCCCAGGTCTGTTCTTGATCGGGCCTCTTCTGTCACAGGCTGTTTGGGGCCGCACAGACTAGGGGGATTAAAGGTTTGGTGTAGGCGATAGGCAGTGTCCTCCCTGCTGTGAGGACGGAGCTTGGCTGGGGGCTGTCAAGCTGACAGCTTTCTTTTCCCGTCCCCCAAAGTCCTGCTGGACACGATGCTCCACTTCAGTAGCCCCCACCCTGTGAAGGCAATGGGAGGAGCAGGGAGCTGGGTTTTTGAAGCTGTCTAGTGCATAGCGTGGGCATGTAGGGGAACAGGCGTCTTGACCTAGGACATGACGTCATCTCTCAGCCTCCTTGCTGCCAATCAGGAGCAGTCAACTCTCCGTTAATGTTCACACCTCCTTCGGAAGTTGGCTTCTCACTCTGAGATCAGCAGTCTTGGAGTCTGAGCACAGGTGTTACTGTGTGGTGCTCCCTCTGGCTCCAGTACCTCTTCACCCTCAGTTTCCCTCATCCTCCTTAGCTTCTGCCCCAGCCGTGGCAACAGCCTGCCTCTGCCGCCAAAGCAGTTAGGGGCCTTTCCAGCCTTGGCTATTCGACATGTGCCACCCCTTAAGAGTGTCTGCGGGGCTCGGTTCGCTCTCTTGCCTCTTGCTCCTCTCTTGCCTCTCTTTTTCCTCTTGTCTCTTCCCTCTTCTGTCTGTCTGCGTCTCTCGTGTCCAAGCAGACCTTTCACTCTTTCGCTCTCCCTCTCCCCCTCCCCTAGTGAACTCTTGCATGAACTGTTGCCTGTGGCATACCTTGGCAGGGCCGGAAAGGTACCCCCTTCGACTTTTTTTTTTTTAATCCTTTCAACCTTTCGCTTCAGGCTCTGGACCAGATCCTCCCCTTCTGTGAGCTCTGATTTCCAGAAGCAGTTTGAAACACATTGTCTGACAGCCAAAGGGAGAGTTGGGCTTGGGGTGGGTGGGCAGGAAGATGTTTGAGCCACCAAATCACCCTGGGATGACTGTCTCCAAATCAAAAATAAGACAATGGCAAATAAACCTAGGGATGGGAGGTGTCCATACATTTGGACAGGTGGGAGGGAAGGATTTTTATTTATTTCTGCGAGTGTTTGTGCTGTGTGTGGACATGTATACACGCGTGCTTGTGAAGGCCAGAGGTAAGCGTTGGGTATCCTTCTTTGCTAATTCTCCACTTAAGTTTACTTTTTAAATAATTTTATTATTATTTATTTATTTTTGCTTTTTCAACTCAGGGTTTCTCTGTGTAATAGTACTAGCTGTCCTGGAACTAGCTCTTGTAGACCAGGCTGGCCTCAAACTCACAGAGATCTGCCTGCCTCTGTCTCCCGAGTGCTAGGATTAAAGGCGCATGCCACAACCACCCAGCCCTGAAAAAGGTATTATTTATTTATGCATGTGCCTTCAGAGCCAGAAGAGAGCATCAGACCCCTGGAACTTGAGCTACAGGTGGTTCTAAACCTTCTGATGTGGGTGCTTGGGACTGAACCCACGTCCTCTGCAGAAACAGCAAGTAAGTGCTCTTAACCTCTGAGTCAGCTCTCCAGCCCTCCACCTCCAGTTTCTGAGACAAGGTCTCTCACTAAACCTGAAGCTTGTTGATTTGACGAGTCTGCCGGCTAGTGAGCTTCAGAGGTCTACCTGTCTCTGCCATTCCTACGCCCTCTGCGTGGGGTGACTGGCACATGGAGACCATGCTCAGCTTTTTATGTGGGTTCTGGGGAATCTGAACTCATGTCCTGTGCTTGCAAGAAATATGTGTTACTACTGAGCAATTCCTCCTACTTCCCTTTTTTTTTTCTTTCCTTCTTTATTTGTTTTGGTTTTTGAGACACTGTAGCCCAGTTCCAGACAATAATCCTGCTTCAACCTCTCAGTGGGATTACAATCATGAGGCACCATGCCAAACTGAGAAATGAATTTCTTTATGATTTATATTCATTTTCTTTTATTTATTTGTGGGGAGGAGGAGATATGGGTGGGCGCATGGATTCCCTCAGAGACCAGAAGAGGCTTTGGATGCCCCTGGAACTGGAGTTACAGGTGGTTGTGAGCCCCCTGCCATGGGTGTTGGGAGCTGAACCTGGGTCCTATGGAAGAGCAGCAAGTTCTTGTAACCACTGAGCCATCTCTCCAATCCCAACACTTACTTTTTAGTGTCCGTGAAGGACCTACAAAAATTACCGAGGTCGTTTAGGAACATAAAATGTGCTACGCACAACTTGGCTCATAAAATTGTCACCTTTGTTATATGGTTTCAGAGATGTGAAGTCCTGTCTGAAAGTTTAAAATGTGTTGTTAATAGAGTCTATCTGTCTCCAGTGTTTTGGGGCACCAAAGGACTCCTCAGGGGATCCCTCCCATCCCCCTTCCCATTTGGTCCGGGTTCATCCATCCCATGTCCCCTGCTCTCTGGCCTCCTCTCTCTGCTTAACCTCACACGCCCTCCTAAAGCAGCCAGTTGCACAGGGCCTAATGCTCAGAAGGGTTTAATTAACAGCTTAACTGCATCTTTGGTTTCTTGTGTGTTTTGCTGTTGTTTTAACAGGGAATCTACACTTCCCTTTGGCTTTAGGTCCCACAGGACGGGTCTCACCTCACAGCCCTGCCTGAGGCCATTGCTGTTCTTCAATCTTCTGGACCACGGCTAGGCCTCATCATTGCTATCCTGCCAGGACCCAGGCTGCCCTTGCCCTCATGTAGCTCCTGCCAGTCTCCCTGGGAACCTCTCCTGTTGGTGACAGCTCACAGTATCTGCTTCTTACATTCCTGTCCCCTGGTTCTGCTGATGTTGGGTACTCAACTACAGCGAGCGCAGCCTGCTCCCAGTGTGGCTGTGAGGTGATGGGGAGGTTTACTTCTCGACCCTCACCCTTAGTCAGGGTGGGAGCCTTCAAAAGAGCTCCTTCATCCTGGCTGCTCCTTCACATCCTGCTGGAGTCTCATGGTGTTTGTGCAACTTTCCTGTCAGCTCGTGGGAGAAGTTCAAACAGTCTCGGCCTTCCTCTCGAGCTTCCTCTGCAGACAAGCAGCTTTCCCTGCTGGTCCCCTGCCCTGGTCTCTCGAGGAAACTACCTTTTCCTCTCTCCCTGCCTCCCTCTCGCAGGTCATGGGAGTATCCTGAGAGCAGATGGGGCCATCTGAAGCAGGTAAGTGGGAAGGAAATCCACCAGGGCCCCCTGGAAGACAGAGTTCGGGGGAGGGAGAGCACCTCTGGTCACTAACCTCGCAGCTGCCTCAGTCACCAGACTTAGGGAAAGTTCATGGATTGTTCAAGAACGTGGTTCTCCAGGCTGTGCTTCCTTGTGGCCCATGACCTGAGAATCTGTCCCACAAGCTGCCTTCTGTTTGAGGAAGTTTAACCACGGGGCCTCTTCACAGGGAAGAGCTTTGGATCCTAGGCCTCTCAGAAAGAGCCTCAGAACTGAGAATATTGTAGTCATTTCTGACTGTCAGTAAAGGCCAGAACTCTGAGATAGGTAAAGTCTGCTTCTCCAAGGCATGAATCGGACCTGTCCATTCTAAGAACCTCCAGAAAACCTACATGGTGCTCAAGGATACATCCTGACTCAGTGAATGATACTCTACCATCTTGTCCTCCATGTCTGTTCCTCCTTCACAGAAGACCTGCATGTAGGACTTTTCATGAGGTCCACTTGCCCTACATCCTTCTGGGGCAACCGTTTTCCAGGCCCAGGGAGAAACAGAGATGCCTGACCCCTCCAGAGGTGGGTCTAAATAGATAGGCTGGCCAGGAGACCGGTGAAGAGTGAGTCCAGAATTGCTGAGGGCACACTCAGAAGATCTACACAGATCTAGAAACAATGGAATAGTTTCTAGAGAAGCCACAGGGGTCAGCCTTGCAGACAAGACTCAGAAAACATGTGACTTCAGAGAAAGGGGCTCTGGGCTGTGGGGCAGAGAACAAATGAGTTAGCAAAATGATTTCTCATGCCCCAAAGGGGAAGAGAGGGAGTATGGGGAATTTCCACCATCAAAGATTGGCAGGTGGCTGGGTAAAAGCTGAAGAGGAGACCGCTGCTTGGGGTGGGAACATAACACCACTAAATCGAAGTGATTTGCCTTGTGGCTCACGATGAGAAGAAGGGGAATTAAATGGGTTTTAGCCATTTCAGTGAGTTGTGTGACCCGCCAGTGTCTCAGCCTTCCTTTACAGAGTTAGATCTCGTGGACTTGGAAACGCATGTTGTAACAAAGGGGAGAGCTAAGTGAGAAAGAGAAAAACCCGGGTGAGAGTGAATGATTGTGTTCATGTAACGGAAAGGCTATTGATGCAAGCTCAGTCCTGACCGACAGCATTCGTATTCTAGATCTTCTGGCGAGTAGCAACATCAGAGAAGTGTTTCAGGGAACTGACTTCCTATAGGAGAAACCATACTGTAGAACCATACTGTAGTTCTCCATCTCACACACATACACCAGAAAGAATGTCCGTTGGAATAGACAACTGTCTTTTGAAGGGAAGCAATGTTTCTTTATTTGCTTGCTTGTTTTTTGAAATGAGATCCATAGCCCAGGCTGGCCTAAGCTGAGATCCCCTGTCTTGGCCTCCTGAGCGTGTGCTGGAGTTACAGGCAGGCATCACCAAACCCAGCAGAAGTGAAGCAACAAGAAGAACTAGAAGCTTTCGTAGGTACACATTTTGGGGTTTGCTGTTGCTGTTGACTGGTGCTAGGAATTGGACTCAGGGCCTCATGCATCCTGGACATATGCTCCTACCACTGAATGATGTCCCCTCCTCAACATTTGAAATTTTTTTCTTTTTTAAAGACTTATTTATTTTTATACAAAACACTTTAGAGGCACAAAACAACAGAAGACATAAAGGAAAAGTATGGACAATTTCAGTATATTAAAAAATGTTGGAGCTCACATAAAAGAAATTATCAAACAAATAACAATTTGTAAAGAACTTTTATAAAAGGACAATAAAATACTAACACTATAAGCTAAAGGAGTACTTATGAGCATATGGTAAACAAAACACCTGTAATCTCAGTGCTTAAGAGACTGAGATGGAAGGATTGCAAGTTCTAGGATAGCCTCAGCTATATATTAAGATCCTGTCTACCCCCTACTCCCCAAAAAGAGCTAATAACAAGAGACAATTAGCAGAAGAAACTATGCCAATTAAGCATGTACATATTTCTTGTTATTTTAGAAAACATAGAATCTATGAAACATGAAATGTCCCCCTTTTTATTCAAAATTAGCAAAATAAAAATGTTTCAGATTATAGTACTGCATTTCATTTTAGATAATCTTTGTTCAGTGGGTATTGACAGAAGCTTCTGTCCTGTTCACCTGTTTCCAAATAACTGACAGCAGCTTCCCAAATAACAAACTCAGAGACTTAATATAAATTATAAATGCTAGGCCAATAGCTCAGGCTTGTTGCTAACTAGCTCTTACATTTAAATAAACCCATATTTCTTATCTATGCTTTGCAACATGGCTCATGCCTTGGTACCTCATTTTCTACACATCCTGCTTCCTCGGAGGCTGGCTGGTGACTTGTCTGACTCTACCCTTCCTCATTTATCACTCTCAGTTTGACTTTCCCACCTAACTTTACCGTGTTCAGCTATTAGCCAGTCAGCTTGTTTATTAAACCAGTCATAATGACATACATTCACACAGTGTACAGAAGGGTTATTCCACAGTATGTAGAATTGTCATATACTAGAAATAACAGCATAAAGTGGTATAGACTTAGCGAAAGACAATTTGGACATAGGCATCAATTTTTTGAGAAACTCATACTAGTGTGACCAGAGATAACAGCTGTCTACAATCAAGTGACCTTCCACAATACACAGGTGCCAAGGAACGGTCCCCTCGGAGTGTAACAGCTTTCAAATCTAGAGCAACTGTGCTTACCCACAAGCCAGCCTCAATTTCAGACCTGTTAACTGGGAGAGAGAGAAAGAGTCATTAGATCCTCACCTGAGATTCTGACCCCTTCCTCCAAGCTGCACATAATTCTTCCCCAGCTTGGAAGTTGCCAGAGAATATAGAAAGTGGAAGGCTCTTTAAGGGGGCACGCACTCTATGTGGCTCTGGGGAAGTCTGGGATTAGACTTTCTGATGATGTGGTTGCTTGTGGGTACCCGTCCTTCCTGTGAGTAACTCCTGTTCCTATAAGTGAGCCCAGTAAACTCTCTGGTTCCAGCAACACTTGGGTAGAATCGCCTGTCCTTGATTCCCTATCTGGGGTGAATAGACATTTGTTCATTCTTACCAGAAAAACCTCACATAACAAGCATTCTGAAGATGGTTACCCAGCCAGCAACTGTATCCCTCAGTTTTCCTTGAGGTAAGCTTGGTCCTAGGTCACGGGTCCTTCCCTGATGCCCAGGGAGTGGGGATGGCACACAACACTTCCAAGCTGAGAGACTGCTGTGTGCTCTCCGCCTGTGTTTTCCAGATGTCGTGGCTTTTAAAGGAACTTGTTGGTGGCGACAGCGTAAGCCGGATGGATTCTGAGTCCTTGAAGAGCCACATAAAGGTTGCAGGCCACGCACTCACATTAGACAGACGCGTGACTGAAAAATAAACTCTTGCCTGAAGCTCCTGAAAATGGCAGCTTTATCGAGTCGAGCATTTAGTAGCCTTTGCATTTATTGCCCAGACACCGCGCTTAGGAATAGTTTCTAAAGAAATAATGAGAGGCTGGGCGTGGTGGAGTGTGCTTTTAATCCCAGCACTCGGGCGGGCAGCAAGGCAGAGCTCCTTGACCTCAGGCCATCCTCCCCTACTCCTCTCAAAGAGAAGTCCAGGCCAAGCAGAGTTACACAGTGAAACCCTGTCTCAAAAGAAAGAAAAGAAAGAGAAAGAGAATGAATGAATGAATGAATGAATGAAGAATGAACGAATCGGGGGTCTAAGAATGGAGCCCAGTTGGTAGAATGCTTGCCAAGCATGCACGAAGCCCTGGATTTGATCTTCAGTTCCGTATAAACCATATGTATTGACATAAATCTCTAATCCAACACTTTGGAGTAACTAAAGTTCAAGGTAATCTTTGGATTCTTAGTGAGTTTGAAGCCAGTCTGGGCTATAGACCCCGAGAAAGGTGGTGGGGAGGAAGGAAGGAAGGAAGGAAGGAAGGAAGGAAGGAAGGAAGGAAGG